CGCACAGACCCCTGTAAACATTATCTCTGGTGCGGCTGCCCCAACTGCCAGAAAATCAGAGAAGTCAGCAGCAGTAGCAACAGCACTGCAAGATAACCGACTCTTCCTGCGTCTGGATGCAAACCACGAATGGAGACAGCTCTCTCCGGCTGGCGTTCGCGAAGCCGTGGCTAAACAAACACAAAGCACCCCTTCCGATGTCGACCAGGTGCAACGCGTTCCCACGGGCTTTGCCATCTGGCCAAAATCCCGACTGCTGGAGGCCTCCAGCACCTTCGCACAAGTGGAGGCAAAACTAAAACCACCAAGTGATCTAATTTCCCTACGGATCGCTAAGGTTCAAGTCGCCATTTTCCGCTTTGAAGGACGAATCGAAGTCATTGCCGAAATGGTAGCCGCCGAAGTCTTCAGAGTCACTAACTGCACTTCAGACCGAGTAAGGATACACGGAAATACTAAGCTCGGCGCTCCTTACAGATCCTGGGCGGCCTTGTTTCGCAGGAATGCTAGCCCACAGCCTGGCTTCCCACTCTTTGACGACTCAGGAGTAGCCAAAATTCAACGAAATCGGCTTCCTATACAGCAATGTAGGCGATGTCTCGGTTTCCACGCCACCCGTGGGTGCTCTTACGCGCCAGCCTATGGGAACTGTGATCCACCATGTACTCGGCATTCGAGTGTAAAGCAACCTCTAAATGTCGAAACTGCGGAGGGCCTCACCAATCCAGCAGTCGAGACTGCCTGGCGCGTCCCAACAGGTCTGGCCCAGCTATCAAGGAGCAACTTGTGACGATTCGACAAGCTGGCCAATGTGAATACTAGGCCGTCGCTAGGGCTAAAGCTGCTACCAAGGCCGCAGAGGCTGCTACAGCTGCCGCCAGATCGACACGACCAACATTTCCAGCCGCTGTTAAGGATATATCGTCGATAAATACAGCAATGACTGAGGGTTTGGGCTTTGGGGCCTTGAACCCTGAAGAAGCTTTATATAGGGCGCCCTACGGGCCCCTTCTCGCCCCCCTCCTACACTAAGATTTTTATCAATAAACGTAGGCAGGGGTGGCCCAACTCACAATATTGCGCTCTCTCGAGCTTACGAGCTAGACGTGGATGTTGTGTTGATTCAAGAACCTTGTTGGAAAAAACAAAGGAAACTAAGTCACACCCAGGCTAGCTCTTTGATACACCGTACGGAGGTGTGAATGTCAGACCGAGGGCGGTGACCTACACTTATAAGAACGAATAGGTGCGTCGGAATACTCGGGTGGTATTTATCACAAGCTTTCTATAGCAGTAATAACAATTGGTGGTTAACATATATCTTTTTTTTCCTCTCTTATCCCAACTAAATGAAACACGTATATACAGCAGTTGTCCCTCTCTCCTGACGCCATTCCTAAACAGGCAACTCATTACTTATCAACATAATTAGTCATCATTTCTAAGATAATACATGAAAGGTCGTTAAGTCATTAGGCCATTCGACAAGGTGATATCGGCAAAGCAGATTTTCCCTTATCATAGGCTGACTGGGCACTACTACTGGGTACTGGCTAATAGAATCACACTTCTCAACCTGTACAAATCCCCTAACGACCCGACTACTGTCCGCCCGCTTATCGACTGGAAACCATCTGCGAGGTCCATTGCAGCCGGGGACTTCAACTCAGTGCATGCTGCCTGTCAACCGGGAGCAACTTGTGATGCACGGACCACTCAAAGGGTACATGTTCAACATTCCTCACGCAGAAGATATGTAACTGTAGTTAGATAGCTTTACCGCAGTGCCAACTGGCCTAAAAAGGCACAATATTAGATCTGTGTATCTAATAGCTATCTTACTACATATAGTAGACTTGTGAGCTCACACAGAGCGTCACACAACTAGGCCGTATGGACAGGGTGATGAGATAGAGAGGTGGGCAGAAAACCACAATCTATCATGCTGTGAGGGTCCGGATAGAGCACGAGCTAGGAGATGACGAAGTCGAATCAAATAGATATTCAAATCAGGATTATAATATAAAGGATTCTAAACTAGGGAAGAGAAGGGAAAGAAAGCATCTACAGATCTATAGCTGTACATAATTTACACCTGGCCCGTGCGTTCCATACCGGGTAACTCCTTATACTACAGACTAATCATTATGTCATTGCACCCCTACTCATTACTATGATGCAGGGCCGTCACACATGCCTTATAATTGGAGAGCCGACTCATAAAGCTGGCAATACTCTGGATCTCGCCTAGACTAACATATGGGAAGCCCGTGATTGGGTCGATAGGGAGGAATGTATGACCAGCGACCATCTCCCGATTCGTGGAATCAAACCTGCCGCAATTTTTAGCAGGAACTCGGCTCCATCAAAGATCAGAGTGCCCCAGAAAAATCTGCCTGATTTTACGCGTGCTGTTGTAAAATGGGAGATCCACCTTTAGATTTGAGTAAAACAGAGAAAGTGGATAAGTACGCCCAAGAGATCTACTTCCATCTATCGGAGGCCATCAAAGCGACTGGAACCTGGGCCAGAAAGAAAAGCGACAAATCTGCGCCGCTGTGGATTCCTGGGTGCAGATTTGTATACGCCGAATACTAAGCCGCAACGTCACTGACACAGCGGGCCACTTGCGCGAAGAGGCTTCGTGCGACAATCATAGCCGCCAAGAGAGAATATCAGAGAAGCCAAGTGGAAGCAATGACAGCACCGTCCGATATATTCAAGCTGATGCGCTCGGAAAACCAAAGACAGGCCAAAGCCCCTCCACCACTCAATCACAATGGAAAGTTCATCACGGATCCGTTGGAGCGAGCTAACATTCTCTGAGATGCCCTTCTTATAGGTCACCAATAACCTGACAACCTTCCGCCATGCAATACTCTAAGCGATAACCAGATACCTTGGGAAGGTGAAATCTCAGATGAGGAAGTGCGAACTTGCATAATCGGCAGGGCACTCATCCATCCCGCTTCAAGCTGGCGGAGGTGGTACTACTGGAAAAGCCAAATAGGGACCCAACTACGGTTAAAGGCTGGAGACCTATAGCCCTCCTCTCGTGCATAGGAAAGGAATTAGAGAGACTTCTTGCCAAGCGAATGGCGTACCTCGCCATTACCTGTGATGTGGTTGGTCATCAACAATTCGTGGTGCTCCCAAATCGATCGGCAACGGGCCTGGTCTCCTGCGTAGTCCATGACCTCGAAGAAGCACGCTCCCATGGATGGGCCTCAACTTTCGTAACTTTAGACATCCAAGGAGTGTTCGATGCAGTGCTCCATAATCGCCTGGTTAGGTGCATGCAAGCTCAGGGATGGCCAGGCTCAATCCTCCGATGTACGACTTCATTCCTCACACATCGGAAGGTATAAGTGCGTTTCTCCGGCAGAGTCACCACCCAGAGAGAGCTGGTCTGTAGAGTCCCCTAGGGATCACCAATATCGCCTTTACTATTCCTTTTATTGCATCAGGTTTTGATTGCGTATGCAGCTATCTGTTACGGTTTGACCGTTGTTTGAGCTTAGGTGGATACCTAAGCCTGTCACTAAGAATTCTTACTATGAGGCTGTATGAGGGGGAGATGAAGCTGAACGAAACGGGACTACTACTCAGGAGGCTGAAGCGTTATTACAACTTAGTGACACCTGGAAATACGTGGCTGGGTAAGAAGTATTGTGCCTAAGGACAAGTCACTAGTCTGTAGATTCACGAGGAGGATTAACTCCTATAAATACCTGTTAGTAGTAGCTAGAGTTAGCTTTTCTCCTCATATAGTTTATTAAATCGATTTATTCATCACCAACTCGGTTTCCGTCACACTATCTAGCTATAACACAATATCAGGTAAAAGTACAGAAAAGACGACTCAATATATGAATAGAGCAGTCATGCCTTGGATTTCATTTGCAAGTATCACTGCGAAGTTATGGCGGCTTTTTCTTCACCCAAAGTCAACCCTCATCCGTGTACACCCACCCAGGGAAACGTCTCAAAACCCTGGGTTATCCAGACATGCCTCCATCATCCGTTCACATTTCTCCGCGCGAAATATGGTCGGAGGCCTCTCCTTCCCAAGTGGAGTAGGTGCCTAAGCTACTCAAACTATACCGGAGGATACCACCAGGAGGCGGATCACGGCATCTTTCATCGTTGACTTGTGTTTATAGTGTCAGCTGCACTCTCGCAAGCGAAGTCTCGGCGCGCACGAAGCTCAATTTGTAAAACTCCTTGCCAAAATTCGAAATTTCACGCCCGTCGAGATTTTATCCAACCTCCATGTCATTTTCTAAACTTGTCCTTGTCCCTCTCACGTCCATCCCAAAGAACCGTCTTCCAGATTTGTGCGCTACGCTTTGCTTCCTTCGTCGGGTGCAGATATCGGCGTGAGCGTGTATTTGATGACGAGCTGAGGCAGGAGAAAGTCGACGAGAGGTATGGTCATTGAAATGAAGATATACTAGATTGTACTTGAAGACTTAATCAGGTTTGTGTAGGAGTTTATCTCGCTGGGAGTGAAACTTTTCTATGGTAGAGTACTTTGAATCGTTATCAAAAGGGCCAACTTCCTTAGCTATGCAAATTTTGACTGAACTTAGGTATGGAAGAATACTTCAGTCGTAGGTTCGGAAATGACACTGCGTACAGGTTTTCAGACTTGCCCCCCGGAACACCTTAATAAACCTCCCCTCGGTGGGTAGTTCCGAGACGTATGTGTAAAAAAGACAATGTTCGGCCATCATTCCTGTTGAATATTTATGCGACAGTGGAACTAAGAGTATACTTTATACCAGCTAGTAATTCAGCTGCGTGTGGATATTGTTATCGAAAAAAGTTTCTTTACAACAAGATTGTATATATAATGATCGTTTTTGTTGTCTTAGTTTTTAGAAAATAACATTTTTGTTTGTTTTCAATTTTTCGTCCGTCGGGGCGCCAAGGCTTGGCTTAAGTCCCTACTACCCACTACCCACTAAACTTACCAGAGGCATGGACGCCAGTGCTTAATGCCCTGGTGGCTTCGACCTTGCTACTTCCCAACTAGATTTGCAGGGCAATTCTCTAATCACATGATTGCGTGTAGCGTAGCACCTGCACTTTTACAGCCAGGCCCCAAGTGCGACGGGAACCCCGAGTTGGTGATGATAATGTCGATTTAATAAACTGTATAAAGAAGAAAGAGATATCTAGCTACAACTAACGGGTATTTATAATATTCAGCCTCTTAGTGATTGTCTTGACTGATTTCTTCACCCTAGGCCGAATACTTGCCACCCAGCCACATATTATCAAGAATCACTACGCTGTGACACTGATCTGGCCCCTTGGCTGGTAGTGCCGTATCTTCCAGTTTCCTCTATCATTTCCTTACAGTCTTACAACATGAATCTTCAACAATACGCTTAGGTATCCACATAAGCTCAGACAACGGTAAAACCGTAACACCAAGGCTCATTACTCCTTTGATGTATTACAGCCACTCTCGGGATGCTACTAATAGATCCATTCAGAAATACCGCACCATCCATAATGCAAGGCTCAGAGTTGGGGGTCATGGCTCCATGCGTACAATCACTGTAGGATTGTAGGTCTTAAGCACCACAAACATACACGTGACATGAATGCCAATCAAGCCTTGGCATTACTCAGCGAACACCCACGCATCATGTAAATAGATCTCGCTGTAGTTACTCCTCCATTCATGGACATTCTATCTTACATTCCCAAGTCTACCTCTCTACCATTTTCATACCTCGTGATTTATAAACACAGGAAGAATAACAACACTACATGCTGAGACACGTCGGATAGTTTAAAAAGACTAAACTAGTCAACTAGAAATCTTACGGTTGTTTTTTTGTTTTGTTTATTTTGTCCTAAGCTAAAGCTATGTTTTCCACATTGAGTCAAGGACCGTTGAAGCCGGCAGGGTTCCCTGTAATCTTTCCTACAGCCTAACTCGTTCCAACCTCGTAAATCGCTACCAAAAGTGCAGCTGATTAAACTGAAACGAAAAATCAAGAAAATCAAAACAACTCCGAAACCCAGAAGATTTCTCCATAATGGACCTAGTCAATGTGCTCCTCACACATTCCCTCGTCCGTCACACCTTCCAAATGACAAATTTACTCAATCTCCACTGAGAGCAGTAGATGAGTTAGCAGGCACCTTTTATCCAGCCGGTATCCTGCTATGGGTTAGTAGATGCCCCAAAAGGAGCATCTAGCTGTAACAGCACGGCATTCTGCCATGTCATTACATATATCAGGTGACCAAGAAGGTATGCTTGGTGAGGAACCAATATGTGGGAGGAGATAAGATAAGCTCACGCAACCCTGGGAAGCGAGAGCACACACACAAAAGCTCGCAGATTCTATTATCATTAGACATTCTTTCTTTCTTCTTTGTATTAGTATTAGCTCAATAGATTGAATATATAGTTATACAAGCTGTACTCTCACTTATGCTTATTCTACGCCGTGACAATTGTATAGGTTGCTGTGTCCTCAAACTTCTTCAGCTTCCAGAGCTCCGAAACCTGTTGCCTCGAAGATAGAGAAATCCTTCGCCGCGGCTATGATCGCCACCTCGGCCCTTTTGGGTGCTACTCGAGCTCGTGCCACCTTCGCGAACTCCCCTTGTTCGATGTGGCGAATCCACGCAAGCTGCTCTTTTGTCACCGGTCCCCCACAGTTGCGACACTTAGTGAGGGCCTTGCACTCGGCTTCCGAGTGCATATTTGATCCGCAATTCCAGCAGGCTGGAGCACGGGAGCAACCATGGGTGTCGTGGAAGCCCAAACTGTTGTAATTAAGGTATGAGTAGGTATGAGATGCTGAATATTCTAGGGATAGTGCAGAGGGTGGATAACGATTATCAGAGCTTGACGATATGATGAATAGCTTGGTTATGTTATTCTACATATCACAGTAGTAGATAGGACTTATATACACATATTTGGCACCCGCGATACAGTACATCACCGTCTATGCATGAAGTACTACAATCTTAATTCCAAGCAATACTATCCCACATTACTCTATGCCATTGTATAGAGCTGCGCCTCAATAGTCGATCGTAATAATAGCCATGTAGGGCTGTGCAGTACTCGCATAGATGTGTTGTATCCCTGGCACTTGGCAGAGATAAATTTAGAGTAAATGCAATAATCACATCACAACACAAACAGCGTTTGCACTGTTCAATTTGGCGACGAGGCTTGTAATGGGTAGCCTTACCAGACTCGTCGAAGAGGCGGAAGCCCGCACGAGGGGCGTAGTCCCGGGGAAAAAGGGCATGCCAGTTTCAATACGGTGCCCCAGGTCGACATGTCCCATGAGGTCGGACCTGTATTGGAAGCGCGCCTGTCGTTCTGTGAATCTTGGCGGAGACCAACTTATCATCGACCGCCCTGGTACCGCATACTGTAACTATACTTACAGGTACGTTTGGTATCTGTAAGGCGACAAGATCTGAAGATGCCTCGAGTTTGACGTTTTTATTCGCCAGCTTCGAAGAGCCACCTAACGTCTCTTGTCTTATTGTATTGTTCTTTGCTAGCATAGCAAAGCCGGTTCTCACTCGATGGAGTGAGGTTATTTGATTGTCAAAGTAGCCGAATGTATACTCCAACGTAGTTCTCACGGTACTCGTGAATAGTTTTCGCCACGGGTGGTCCTTTTCAAGGCGAAGGAACAGTTGCTTGTCGACTTTCGCCTTGGGGGTTTCTTTTGTTGGGTTTTGGCCGCAGGTCGCGGCACAGTCTTTACAGTTGGGACTGCTTTTTGTCGCAGTCCATTTCGGGCCACCGTGGCCCAGGTGCTTTTGAGGGGCAGCACTGGGACGGCGGGAATCGTTGTGCTCCTGGCATCGAGAGCCCTTGGGAGAGAGTTCGCAGGGCGAGGAGGGAGGACGGGTGGCGTGATGGCCGAGCCCGAGGCCATGTATTGCGCTATGGCGGCGCGTAGGTAGACTCTCATCGAGTCTACGAATTGTCTACTTGAACCGTTGGTCAAAGGAAGAAGGGTGGCTTCGACGCCAGAGATGGCGGCGGAGCAGAGGGCCAGATTTGCCGCTGTTTCGGCGGCGCGTTGTTCAGGTTCGACAATCGGTCGGAGCTCGGGGGGACATTCTGCTTTCATGTCGGCTTTTGGATGCGACGTTAGTTTTGGCGCTGCTATGGGTGCAGCTATGGGTGCAGCGTTTTCCGACAGTTTTGATGCGGTCGGAGGAGATTTTGAAGATTCTCCAATCCTGTGGGGGACGGAGGATGGTTGAGGAATTTCCTCAACAATTTCAACTGATCCGATCATGTCAGTATCGGGCGCAGTGACGACGGGGAGGGCCTTTTCCTTCCATTTAGTAGAGACCTTGCTCATCTTCGCGCATTTCGGAGACTGGACAAGGCCAGTTACTTGTTCGAGAGCCCTCGGGTGGACTCTCGTGTTGTCCAACTTGGCGTTGGGACACTTTTTTCGAACAGGAGGCATGATGAAAATGCCAGTGACTCGATCACAATTATTTGATAGGATGCGATGAGCGCGAGAGAGAGGGAGAGAGAGAAAAAGTGAATATTCGAATGTTTGAATTTCAAAGAATTGTGGTTTGAGTTTTTGATTTTGATTTTATTTGAGCCGATCAGCCACCCTATGGGCCCATGCAGGTGACTATCTTCATTATTTACTATGGAGGAAACCAATTTGGTGAAAACCCCCTGATCCTGTCCGTTTATGTTCCTATCAATTTATTTAGTTAACCTTCAGGAAGTGCAAATTACATTGTTCAGCAAGTGTGGATTCCGTCCTCTCTCCTTCCAGATCTATTTATTTTTTCCAACATTGCTACCTTGACTTCTCCTGCAAGTCGAAACTGTTTTATCCACCCTTTATTTTGTATCCACTGTGTGATTCTAGCCACATCTTCTGGGCTGTTCATCATTGCTTCAAATGACCTGTCTTTAGCTTGTCGGAGAAAGTCGCCTCTTCCATTTGCCCACTGCGGACACGCCAATAGCATGTGCTTGACGTTCTGTGACGGATATCCACATTGATAGCTTGGCTTTTTTACTCCGGGTTCTTTTCTTCTGCACAGGTAAGAATTGAGTCCGATATGCTCGCTTCTTAGCTGAGTGGCGACACTGGTTTGGCCCACGTTAGGTTACGGTGTATGTTTAAGGGTGTATTTTTGAAGTTCATTTTGGCGCTGCCTGTTTGTTCATCAGTAAATATATTTGCCGCTTTCCAATATTCTGGATCGGCTGATGCTTGTCAGCCAGGGCGCTGTTTCCTGATCTGGCTTGTCCTTGAATTCTTCCACTCCTGAAAGGCCGCTATCTTTCCAGCTTCTTTCTGTCTCCTCTTGTCCTTGTCCCTTCCGCAAGTTCTTGTCCATTCGGCGATATCTTTACTCTTGTTCAATGCATGCGAAGTTTCTCTCCCGTTTGCGGTCAGCTTTATCCTCCTACATGTCGATCGGATTGTCTGTTGAACTGGGACTTTATCTGATAGTCCGGCGTGGTGGAACCCCCTTTGTTTCAGGTATATCTCTATAGGGAGGACGGACGATTCGTGCTCTAGCACTCTGCTGCTAGTAGAATTGTAGGCACCTGCAACAAGCCTCAAGCATTTTCTTTGAATATTTCTGAGGGAAAGAATTGTGGTTGTTTTGTGAGCTAGCACGACGTTTAAAAGAAAACGATTACATACTGAAGTAAGGGTAGAAAGAATAATCCTTACGTGAATAACATGACAACCAGAGTTCCGCAGAAAGCACTACGGACAAATGATCATTCTATCTTAAGATTTTAGGGTATTTTTTTTTAATAAGAACTTAAATCAAGATTTATAAGGGGGGTCTATTTCATCAGGAACTTCGCTTGAGGTACTATCCCTAGGCAATTAAAATTCTAGATAGTCATGGACTTAAGTCGTCCAATAAACACAAACACATACGCAATTAAATGTAGGCATCAAAATATTTTTTTAGAGATTCCGAAACAGTATATATCGATAGACGTTAGACTGTATTTCATACGAAATCTCTTGATGAAGTAAAATTTGGATAATTTTTAAGAGATTGCAAGGTCACCCTGTCCACTTGCGTGTTTTACCCGTCGTAACTCTTCCTAATATAAATGGAAAACTAATTAATACCTATTTCAAAAAATTACTTGGTCATCTAATCATTAAAAAAATTATCGAAAACAGGATATTGTTTCCTAAAACGTAAGAGCTATGCACAAAAGAATTTTTATTAATATGATTTATTCTTGTGTTTAGTCTCATCTGCTACCCCTACTCTTGCTTCGTCTTCGAGTCCGATCTTTGTTACGATCCCTGTCTCTACTTCTACTTCTCTCGCGTCTTTTTTCGCGGTCATGATTTCGGTCTCTATCACGGCTTCGGCTTCGATTTGTTCTAGACTTACGCTCCTGTCGTACGTCAGGACTCCTACTGCGACTCCGAGAAGTTGTCTGATCACGGTTCTTGTTATGGTATCGTCTTCGACTCCTGCTTGGACTACGAGATTTACGAGATCGATAATCGTTTCGGGAGTGCCGAGAATCCTTTTCTCGACCTCGATCTCTATCTGGACTTCGACTTCTACCCTTTTTCCGGGATTCACTTCTTTCTGAGTTAGAGTTTCGACGCCTCTTGTTATGAGTACCTGGTACATAGCGGTCAATATTTAACGGGCTGGTAGATCTTGCAATACGATTTTCTTTTCTAACATCGCTATCGCGTGAAAGACTCCGGGATCTTGCATGCCTGGTTCTTTGAATAAGGGAACTATGGTTTTTAGAAGATGAATCTTTTACTTTAGTCCTTTCCTTAGGATAAGAAGGTGAATGATCCCGAATGACTGATAGGTTAGACTTGGATGTCTTTCGCCTATCAGTATCGTTGCTAGTATATTTCCTCTCAATAGAGTCGGATCTTCTTTTATATTTACTCTGATATTGATACATCTTATCATAATCTTTCGATTCTTTGCGAAAGTTATCTGCATGGGTACTTTTTTGGTCTTTAGATTCATTGTAGTACTTGTCAACTCGAGTTCGATCTCTGTTATCCCAATTGGACCGCACATTTTCGTGTCCCCGACTTTCTCTGCGGGGACTTCGACTTCTACTTAATTTCCTGGCCGAGTTTCGGCCATGGTTATGATTATTACTCCGGAAGCCTCTTCGATTATGGCTAAGATCTCGTTTTCGATGATAATTTTGATCTCGCTTATTACTGCAACTCCAATCACTACTCTGATCACTACTCCAGCCACAGCTGGAGTTTCGATTTCTACTACGGCTCCGATCACGATCACGACCTAGGTTTTGACTTCGGCTGCGTTTTTGGTTCTGTTGGTTGATTGAGTTACTTTCAACAATTTTCTCTGGTAGAGAGCTTTCAGCAATAATTTTATCAATGACAGGTTTTTCAATGGCAAACTTCTTAGTGATAATATTTTCAGTGTTAAAACAGGGAATTTTTAATCCATTTTCTGGATTTAAGGCGGTCTGAGTTGTAATAGGAGTTTTATTGTCCGACTTGGGCTGAAAGCCTTTAGAGATTGGCTGGATTGCGGAGCTTGGCATGATTTTACGTGGTGGTGGTGCGAGGCCATTGTTAAATTGGTGTTGATGATAATTCTTGGCTGGACATAATGGTTTCAAAAGGTGATTTAAGGCTTCTTGCTCCAGTCGTTCAATCTCTTCTTTCGAAAGTTCTTGTTTAACGGTGCCTGGCTCCATTATATTATCAGATTCCTTTGTGGCATTAAATTTGGTGAGCGACTCAGGATCTTTCAAAGTGCCAGTCCCAGCTGTGCCGTCAGGGTCTTTGAACGAATCTTGTTTCCGAAGGGTCCTAGGATCTTGTGCAGATACTTTCATGACATTATGGCGTGATTCATCGTCATATCTACGATGTCGCTCTTCTTTATTTCTATCCCTGCGATTTCGTTCCCTCATGTCTCGCTCTTTTTTTTCTTCTCTCTCCCTCTCTGCTTGGCGTCTGGCTTCTCTTTCTGCTCTTCTTTTTTCTATCTCAGCCTCATTTTTTTTCTCTTCTGCCTTCTTGATAGCCCTTTCTTCTTTCAATCTTTCTTCCAACATTATTCTTTCCTTCTCTCGTGCTTCGCGCCTAGATTTCTCTCTGGCCTGCCTCCTTAATTTTGCCTCTTCGGCGTATTGCTCGTCAGTCTTTCCACCTCTGGCTTGCTCCATGGCGGCAACCTCTTCCCCAACGTTGTTTTTCCTGATATCCCTTATCCCACTTTCAATTTCGAATATATGAGCATCGATCAAAGCATCGATCTGATTTTCTGCATCACGATAAGCTCCTGCCCGCTCGACGGCTCCATGGATAAGAGCTTCAGCGGTTGCGCGATTTTTTCTGAGCAAGTCGTAATCATTTTTCTCGAGTTCTATCTCTGCAGCTTTTAGTAGCGAGCTTGAGAATTCAGCCTCGAAGGTCTCTCCGCAGCTTTAGTAAGTTTCATGCTCTAATAAGGTAAAATAAATGTTTCACTCACAGTTTTTGTCAAGTCATTCCATATCTGTTTGCGTAGTGAATCATAACCACCTTTCTTTTTGAACGTATGCGCAAGCCCTTCGATCGCAGCACGCGTTGCAGAAGAGATAGGTAAATCAGATGTCTTGAGCTTTTTTCTTGTGGGATCTAATGGTACACCTTCAATGTGTGCCATTTTCGTGGAAATCTATACTTCTAATTTATTCATCGATCGGAATATTGAGCTGGTCTAAATATTATGTAGAGTGTCCGAAAGAGAAGTAATCGGGGATGCCTTTCATGTAAACATTGAGTGGCTCTCTTGGACTTTCGTGGCTGGGCACTTGCTACGGTTAGTCGTCTGGTTCCTATCGGTAGGCCCCTCACTAGTGTGGATGGCGCACTGGTAAGACATAAGAGAGTCTCTCACAGAGATTTAGTTTTTATTTTTTGGATCAGATTTTAATTGCGTATGCAGCTATCTAGCTATGACACAATATCAAAGAAAAGTACAGAATGGATGATTCAACATAAAGGAAGAGCACTCATACCTCGGATTTCATTTGCAAGTACCACTGCGAAGTTATGTCGGCTTTTTCTACACCCCAATTCAACCCTCATCCGTGTACACCCACCCAGGAAAACGTCTCAAAAACCCTGAGTTATCCAGACATGCCTCCATAATTCATTAACTTTTCTCCACGCCAAATATGGTCTTAGGTATCTCTTTCCCAAGTTGAGTGGGTGCCCAGGCCACTCGAACCATACCAGAGAACACCACCAGGAGACGGACCACAGCACCTTCCATCGTCGGCTTATTTTTATAGTGTCAGCTGCACTCTGCCTTTGTGTGTGTTTATTTTGCTACTTGAGTCTATGACTATCTAGCACATTGAGCTCCTCTCTGACCCAGGCCACATCTTCTACAGTGCTCCTAACCTCTTTTGTTACTTGTAAGATTATTGATATATTCCCCTTGCTGAATAGCCATTCAGATCAGTATTTATCCGTGGAATTCGGCCACCTTTTCCACGGAAGCTTCTACCCAAAAAAATAAAAATGGCAGCAATAGAAACTGCGTGCGCGGGAAAAAGTCTCAAAAAACCTGCAGACCCAGCCAGGCGAGGCCTAGACACCGGGACCACCTGAGGTGCGCATATTCATCTATGTCTCCCTTCTTTGTAACAGTCGAGGTCGACTTGATCCAATTCACCATCTCCGTATCGGGTGCTGGGTACGCCCCGGAAACTCATCGGATGGCATCTCCTCCATAACCAGGGGTTGGTGATGAGTAGGGCTCTGACCCTACCATCTGATCTGATCGTAATTAGCTTCATGATAGCGATGATAGGGGAATGTGTTGAGAGATGAAGACGATACAGACAGCGCAAGCGATTGGGAATCCTCGTCGAAGTGAGGACTTTCTTGCTCAATCTCAGCCCTGCAGACTCTACAGTGAGAGCTGGAGGTTCGTAGGGGACACCACTAACAGGTATTGAGAATAGTCCCCCTCTGACTTTGTGTATCTAGGATTATCTCTACGCTATTCGTCGCACAACCCATCTCTGCTATTATACCACGTACATTGTTTTGTTTTGTTCATTTACGTGCTAGGTAGTTTTATTAATTCATTTTATTGTCCTGTCTGAGTCTATGACTATGTAAGACATGCGGGTCCTCTCTGCCTACAGGCCAAGGATACCTATACCAGTAGTATATCCCCTCCTATGCCTCCCATACAGCTCCCCTCAAACAGTACCACCCCTCACAAGTCCTCATTTGATCATACACTAAGAGGATCCCTTTGGCCTTCATTTTCTCCCCTCTCCAGCCAACGAAACGATGGCCATTTGCGGGTGTATGGCAGCCGGGAAAAATCGCAAAAACCACTGAGTGCGGAGCTCTCCTAATACCGACATTAAGACTAGATCCGAAGACATAGTGACCCTTCCGAAGCGTTCAAAGAGACCGGTCAGCTGGGCGCTGCAGACTTGTGGGTACCTCGGGAAATTCACCCTCTGCCTTTCTAGCCTCCTTCCAACTCCTTCCCGAAGGTCGTGCTGAAATGTCAGAAAGTCTTGACAGAGCGTGATTGCTGTATAGTAGCTTAGCCTAACTTGTTTTGTGCCGTCCAGGGCGCTGGAGAGTGCCGTTGACTCATCGACAATAGAGGCCCTCCTGGCTAATTAGCCGAAATCTTGGTCTTGGCGCCCACAAAAAATCCAAAGTTGAAAACTCCTCGAAGATGTCAGTCCCAACACGGTCTTCAGAGACCTCTTTCCACTCTCGCTCCACATCTCAGCAGCCTGTCCTTCCTCAAGATGTATAACCCCATTAGAGTAACAGTCCCCCACAAGCCAAGACCCAGGCTTTGTATTTTTCGACTTTATTTCGTCCTTGCGGGTATAAATAACATCGTAAACATGTAGTGAGTGATGGCCGGCGATGAATGGGGCAAGCTCCTGGATGCAATTGGGGCAACTTCTTTATAGGTCGTTGAGGCGAGATGATGCGTGGTTAGAGATGGGTTGAGGACTCAGATGATAATGATGAGAGAGGCATTGTCGAGAAGTTGTCAAATGGAGATGTGTTTAAGGTTGCTTTTGACTTCGATTCGGATGCGATTCTTCTTGGCTATCCCAGATATGCAGAGCATACTGAGCGATTACACCGGCACCACTGGGAGGTGAAGAATTCGTCTTTGCCGGCACGTGCTAGGTACAGTGACTACCGCTGCACCCCTGCTGGAGCTTAAGCACGGGTGGGGCCGGGCTGGATCAGGTTAACTACCGTCTAGTACATCTACCTCGTCCCACCTGAATGACCGGGCCATCTCAGAACTCACCCATGTGTTGGATCATGTCAAGCCCAACCGTCCAGAGAACCCCCTTTTGGCGCGCCGAAGCGCAAATTCCTCCTCAGCCTCGGCCACCACGCGCCCGAGCCCTTGACACCATCGCCATCTGTAACTTTTCCCTTCGCTTCATTCGCAGCTTTGGCTCATCTCAGCATCTCCTCATCTCATCCAGGGTTCGTTTTCTTCACTGAAGGCCTCATCCAGTCGCCCACCAAGGCCTCCTCATTTTGTGTTCCCTTTTGGTTCCTTCATGTAGCATCCCTCTATCCTTCGGCCGATATCATAATCCAAGAAACTTTGTAGAATGTCCACCCCTCCGGCCTTGCCCCGTTGCTGTCGTAACCTTAACTGTGGAGGTCGAAAACGCGACTGAGAGCTCAAGACCTAGGTAACGGTGCCCCAGCCTTTGTTGAACGCTTTGGTTGGTGTGCCGGTGAAATGTCGTAAGTATATTGTCGGCAGCGATTCATCGCAGGTTGAGTTGTTGGTGCTATTAGCCGAGGTGAGGACGCATCTAAGGCCGGTATTCCGACCGTACCTTCACAGCGACTGGCAGTTGTGTAGGGTCGAAAATCCTCTTGCTTCTTTATTGGCGATTTGGCTTTTGGAGGTATGAGATTGCTTGGGTAGGTGATGAGATGATTGTGGAGAGGGCCGGGAGATGAGTTTGGCTGGGAATGAATTTCCAGAAAAAAAGAAAATAGGATCTTGAAGGTGTCGGTTGTTGTGATACGAACGTCAGACAGGTTATAGGCTGTCTGCGGTTCGTATCTGGGGTGTAGATGGTTGATTTTGATGAGCTGTGCAGTCGTGAAATCTCTGCAAATCGGATTTTCGACCAAAAATGTTCCAACACCACTCCTCTCGATCGCCAACTCGACGAAAACTCTCAAATTCACCCTTTGTCGTGATGAATCTCAGCACTGGGAGAATATTTTACTCTCAGGTTCGTAGAGGACACCACTGACAGGTGTTCAGCCTTCGCCCTCCTACCACGTACATTGAATGCACGTCTTGTAAAGTTTTGTGCGATCCTATTCTTTTACTCTGTCTTGTCTCCCAGCCTGAAAATTTCAGCTTTCTACATCATCTAGAAAAATTTTATGTCATGAAACCCGTCAGTTTCGCGACATGCTGAATAAATTTGAGAAAATCTCTTTTCCATGTAACCTTATAAGGTTACTTGGATCCAGCATGCGACCAGAATCTCCACACATTTATTTCTCACTCTTCATTTCTGCTTTATATCAAAAATAAATAAACTTCTCTTTGAAAAATTTCATGATGACCACTACCAATACTGAATTTAAGCAGAGAATCAAAGAATCTTTTATTTCTTGTTTCTCGAGTCTATTTGGAGCTCTCCTTGAACATGACTTTACTCACACTCTTGCGAACAGGTTCTTTTTGCCCTAAAACCCAGCAGAAATCTTGAATGTACTCCCGAATCCCAATCTGGATGAAGAACAGAGGTTATTTTCGCTATGCTCCTTGCAATCGAACTCGAATTTGAGAGACTTAGGCTGAAAGCAAGTGAAAATGAGAAGGTACACAATGAAGAGCGTCCGCCAATTGTTAGGGCACGTAGTGCCCATGTAGCTGCGAAAAACGAAAAAGATGTTTTTCGCGCCAAGCTCGAAATAGAAAGAACTACACTTAAAAGCACATGTTTTGAGTTATCAGATTTTCTGGGAAAGAAACTTACAGTAGAAACTCTTCTCAAACTTGCCTTACTCCATAATTCCCAGAGCCACGCCGTATGAAAAGGAGTAACTGCAACAACTGCCTGTCGAAGTCAGAAAGATCCGACTAAGTTCACGGCATCAAGCAATGAAAAAAACCCTGTGAAGCGCCAAGAGAAATACGAGACATTCAAGACCCAAGTACAAGGAATAGTCTCTATTTACTCTGCATGTTTCCCCACCGAGGCCTCAAAAATATTGTATATTTGCGGCTTAATAGATGACCATGCTTGGGATGCAGTTTGTGATGGTCACAAGTCTATTACTGCTAGTTTGAATGAACCCTCGCAATGGCAGTGGCAGAATGATAATGCGCTCTGGATAAATCTTGATGGCTGATATATCCTGTTTAATTCAGCAACGCTTGCAAGAAATACGCTAGATAGTTATTCTCAAGGCAGCCCGAGAAATGACAGTCGACCACATTTTGAATGGAAAGCTGAACTTATCAGGCTTCCTAACTGTGCAAAGCTTGTTACACGAGAAAAAGTTGATATATGGCATAGATCCATTGGTGCTAAAATCAAAAGGATACTTCGGTCTCAAGTAGACAATCCGAGGGATCATGATTTTTTAGGATTCGACAATATCGCGCAA